GGTGGATGCCTTTTTATGTCACCTTCCTCCTTGAGTTCTTCTTCCTTCATGAACATAAACTTTCCAAGTAATTAATGATCTTCCTTGGTTTTCATTATCCTTTGAGGGAACGGTAGAGGTGGTGTTTCTTGTAAAAAAATCTTGATGCCCTAGATTCTGACACGTTAGGTGTTGTCTCTACAGTTGTGGGTGACGTGACAGAAGACCGCACCTTCTGAATATTTGGATTTGATAAATCAACAATTCGTGTGACAATAATGGGTTTTTTTTGTTTCAACTTTTGGAGTGTATTCTTCTAACATATAAGTTGCCTTTTCTCCTCACACTCCATTAAGGTTAGAGTAGTAGCGATTTCACCAATTTGAGTCTGCAAATTTTTATACTCTCCTCTTGAGCTTGAAATTGTAACTTTGTTTCTTGCATGAAAGATATCAAAATAGACTCTAACTGGTTGGTTCCATTAATTTCCATACTTGAATTAGGAGAAAAACTTGGGTGATTCATCCATCTTCCATAAGAAAAATTAGTGTTGTATGTTGATCTTACCGGTTGATCAGAATCTGAAAGTGGGCCGAAGGATGAAGCCTGGTGGGATGGAAAGTTGAGGAGAAATGGATGTTGTACCTACAAGGCACTCAGACGATCAAGTAAGAATGGGTGCAAATAGATACAAGAAAGATATTAGGGTTTTAGGTTTGAATATTGAATACCAGGCCCTTACAATTGTGAGGGTTTATATAATTCCCTTGACACTTCTCCATTGGCCCCTATGTTTAGGTTTAGACATGTGGGTTCACAAAAATAGGTAACTGCTAGGACTTGGTCAAAACGGGCAGTCACGCCTGTAATTAGCCATTGCATTGAGCAAGAATGAGATGACGAGCATACAAGTTTATGAGCGTTTCCTGGATGTATGCTCTTCGTGTTTCAAGCAGACTGAGAAGTAGCTGGTAGTATGGGCAAGTGTGCATTTTTGGCATTGTTGGTTGTTCCGTTCAAGGGCGTGGTCGATTGGGGATGTTGGGCCAGTGTTATTGGGTCGTGCTAAAGGTAGAAGCGGATTAGGACAATTTTACTCATTAGGCCCGTCCAGAAAAGGAGCCCCTTAAGTCGTTTCTCCTAGGCGTAGGAGTGATGACTTAAAGTCATCCCACGAGGAGTCTAGGAGGCTTCTGGAGGCTCTCGGGGAAACTGCGTCGAGGAGCTCAAACGTGGTCCTTTTGTATTTAACACACAGGAAGCTGAATGGGTGATTGTACTTTGAAAGGTGGTGCGCCATACGTGCTTTGAGCCATGTGCATTAATAAAGGTGTAATGATGGAAAGTCTAGGGGCTAGGGCGTAATGATGATGACCCTTAGGTTCCCCTAGGTGCGTGCCCACTCACACGCTAGCGAAGTCTGTCTATAAAAGGGTGAGAGGAAGCTTCATTAGTATTTTTTGCTTGCTCTTTATCTGCTTGTTTCCGGTCTTTGCTCGACGCATTCGTTCTCTGTCACAATTCCTACCCTTTTCTCCATCCACCATCATAGTCTCTGCCTGTTCTGCCATTAGTCTTCTCTAACCTAGTAAGTTTTACTGTTTTTTCCAAAATGTTATCTGCTTTTAGGTTAGGTTTTGATTGTGATTATAGAGATGAATGCGGTTAGGGGTAGATTAGCTTTAGATAGGAAGTCTCTTTGTGGTTTCATCACCTGGGTATGTTGGCTCCGTCGTGGGGTTGTTTGGTGTTCCTTGGTGGTGGAGTCGGCAGCGACAATTTATGATGAATTATCTAGAAACATTGGATTGTTTCCCGAGTCTTTTGCTTTGAACTTTCTGTGTTTCTAATGCGTCTCTAGGCGAGGTCGAAATCCATTTTCCTGGGAAGGAACTTTCCTCACGAGAGCAAGGGTTTATCCCGGCGGTCGGGCGCCTAATGTTTTAGAGGGGAGTGACCTCATTTTTCTTTCTCCTATTTCAAGTGAGAACTCTGGTCGGGGACAGGGTCCTCGTTCATGCCTTTTCACTTGATTAGCGATTGAAGGGTTTATTTGATTCGATGTCGAATTCACTTTTGTCCTCTGCTTTTCAGGTATGATGGTTAGCAGTACTGAAGAAGACATTATGAGCGAGCACACTGATTTTGTAACAAGTTCTTCCAGGAGAACCTTAACCGAGGATAGTACCTTGGGGGTACGTGACCCTGATTTGGGCGTGCCTGAGCAAGGCGCAGACACGTAGGGTGAGCCCATGGCTCAGGATTCTTTATCCTGGTTTACGCCGAATCCCATGGAGATTGTTTCTCATTTTGCTCAGCACCAAAATGAGGTGTTTACGTTGGTGGCTCTAGAGATAGAGTTAGAGGATGCAGAGGAAGAATGGGAAATTTACATCCTCTAGAAGGATCATCGTATATGTTCAAAGTTTAATGAAAACCATATTCCTGTGTACGAGATTTTCTTCCAGGAGCTCGGTCTTTGACTTCCTTTCTCTGATCTACATGTGGCCATTTTTCAGCATCTCTGTCTTGCTCATTCCCAGATTCATCCCAGTTCAATTGCCTTCCCGCGTGCTTTTGAAATAGTGTGTGATTATTTGCAGATAGGGGCCACTGTCTCTATGTTCTTTTATTGCTTCCACCTCCAACGGGGACAGTTTGGCAAGTAGTGGGGATGCGTTTCATTGAAACAAGCTAACGGGAAATTGTTCAAGGCTTACCTTGAACCCGTCAGAAATTTTAAGGAAAGGTATATGTTGGTCCAACCCGTGTCGGAGAGGGCGTTGTTAAACATTTTTAGGAGTGTCCCATTGGTCGATGATAAAGGGGGACCTGTGCTGAATGAGGAAGGGAACCCAGTGATGAAGCTGGTTCCCAAGTTCAGTTTCCATTGGTTGGTTAAAACATTTCATTAATGGGACTGACCAATAATTTGGAAGAAGGACTAGCTGGGTCCTGAGGGCCTTGCTAACCATGACCAATTGTCATCCTTTGTTGTGGGGATACCTCATGTCCAGCGGGTGGGCAAATGGGGAGGCCTGTAACTAACGAGGATGGGGAACTCGTGTTTCAGTCAGGGCTGATAAACTTAAGGAGCTCCTAGAATGCGGGGACCCTATGACGTACTTGGGTAGTTATCTTATGTTTTATATTTGGTTTGTATGTATATTCCTTTATCCTCGCTTGATGACCTTCATTTTTATGTTGTAGGAAGGATGATTGCTGCTCAGGAGTGTATGATCAAGTAGGTTATTGTTGCTCAAAAATTGAAGAAGGGGCAGATGTCAGGAGAAGGTACTCAGGGTGATGCGGGGATAGTCCCCCAAGTGGTTTCGGGGACGTCGTCGTCTGGTCCCATGGTCGGGCACCCTTCTCCTCATCTGGTGTTGTCGAGGTTCAAGAGAATGCGTATTGAAGGCGTCGTTGATCTAACGAGTGAGCAAGACAAGGGTAAGTTCGAGTTGCCTCCTTGTTTTCATAACAAGAAATTCTTTGAGGGATCCTTCTTGCATCTTCCTCGAGTTGAATCGCTGATACTTGAAGATATGGATTGCCCGAGCAAGAGGGGGTGTTAGCCTGAGATACTGGTGCAGTTATGAGGGTATTGGGAATGGTTTTGGCGTATACCAAGGAGGGCACCTCCCTGGAAGTCGAGCTCAAGAAGTCCCAGGCCAAAGTACGACCCTCGAGGAGAAGCTTGTCATAGTGAATGCTGCAAGCAAGGCGTCGAAGCACAAATTAGCCTAGATGACTAAGAAGTGCAATACTCTATTGTTGGAGAAGAAGTCCCTGAAGGAATCAGTCGCTGCTTTGAGGGCATAGGTAGCTCCTGCCAAGGATGAGCCGGAAGAGGCCAGGGGTCTGAAGACCCGTGCAGAGTTGGTTTCCCGCCTCCACTTGGCCATGGACGATGTCCTGGCCAATACTGAGGGTGCTTTCAAAAATGTTGTGGCACAACTCAAAGTAGTGAATCCAGGCGTGGAGTTGAATACGGTCGGGATTGGATTTCTCTACTATTTGGAGGACAGGAAGATCATTGTGCCCGACTCCCTTAAGGTTGAATATGATGGATTGGTCGAGGAGCCTATCGAGGAGGATCATGCCCGTGAGTAGGGATTTCAGCTTGACGTTTAATCAGCTTATTGTTGTTCTGTTTGTTTAGGCCTACGCGTGTCATACCCCAAATTTGTCCTATCCTCCTCTAGGTATCATCTGGTTTATATATTTCATGCCCCTCATCTAACACACCATGCACCATTAAACTTGGCGTGGGATTAAGGATTTTGTAAGTTAGGGTTTCTCTATGATTGTGAGGTTTCCACTTTACTCCAACTTAATTCAATTGGTTCATTCATCAAGTGTGGTTTGTGAAATTAAGGTTTGATCTCATGGGCACTGTGAATCTTATTTTCATCAAGTTACAAAGTTTCCCTTAAAACAATTTTTTATTAATAATTAAGGGTTTCTTCATCCTATTGATTGCTTCAATTGCAAAATTGTTGCGAACATAGGGTTAAGACATGCATTTAAGATTTTCATTCAAGAATGCATTCATTATGCAAGGCTTGAGCTACAAATTGTGCTCAGAAGGGTTAAACCATGGAGATAGGGACTCATTCAAATTATAAGGCATAATCATAACATTATAAGAAAGGATGCTTGATTCTTTTTCATTTAGTTAAAGCTAAGGGATATGAATCAAATATAGTACCAAGGAATTCCATTTTTTTCTCTTTGAAGGTATAATAAAAGGATGATGTATTCTATTAATGAAGATAAAGAGAAGTAGTTTGAAATTAGATCATTCATGTGAAATTGAAGAAAAAATTTGTACGTAGTAAACTGCATGGAATCAAACTCAAAAGGAAAGAATTAGAGATATGGAAGAGAAAGTTGGTTCAAATACGTTTCAATACCACATGAATAATTACAGAACACATTAAAAAAAAAAAACCATATCATTACAACATCATTAAGGTCACCATTACAAAGAGAATTCCAAAGAATGTTTAATGAAAGTGTCAAAATCTATTTATCCTAAACCTAAGCTCATCATTAGAACATCCCCATTTTTCTAACAGTTTCAAAAATGTCTTAAACTTCCCCATGGCCAAACTTTCAATCGCTAATCTTTCTTTATGCTTTTGCTTCATTAAACTTCTCCTAGCATAGGCTTCCCCCATGACAAACTTCACGCCATTACACCTGCAAGAAATCCTTGCATCAATACTAGATAAACCAAATTGATGAATAAAAAACAACATCATTACACGATTTACTTAGCAGTCTGCTTAAAACTGTACCTCATCCCATTGATTACCCAACAGCTCTGCATAGACCTGCATCAAGTAAGCACTTGCATATCAGATCTTTTCAAAATTTCCACAAACAGATAACTCGCATCCTCATATCAGTCCACTAACAGAACAAAAAAAAAAACAGTTAGCACTAAAAAAACTACTATTCCAATTAAACCAGTTTCAATCAATTCAGTGCCCTGTTCGTCACCAAAAAACAAACAAGTTCAAGGGATCAATTAAATTACACAAAAGGCAGTTTGCAATCAGTGCACACATAGATATCAGAATTGAGAAGAAGAATTAAAACCAGAACAGGGAAGTTAAGTCTCGAACCAAAAGCGGAAACTTAATTTATTCGCAAAATTTAAAAATGTGTTATGATCCAAGAAAGGGCATTACTTGATAATCAAACACAGAATTATATATTTACAGATGGATTAATATTCATTAAACAAGAATCAATGAATGCAGGAAACACAATCAAGTAAATCAACTAATTGCATAAACGAATCAAACGCAATAAATTATAGAAAAAGCAGAATATCAACAAAACTAGAAATGTTTTAATGCGGATTAATACCATGTTTAAAATGGCAGACACGAATTCGAAAAGTTTCCAAATCTAAAAACATAATCATTTCTGAAATTCGAAATTGCAGATAGAATTCAATAACTTGCCTAAACCTAAAGGGCTAATCAATTCTGAAATTTAAAACTACAGACATATTCAATTTCTTTCCTAAATTAAATTCAACCTCTAATTAACTACATATAATTTTTTCTTTTCCTGATATTCCTAATTCCAAAAATATCTATAAAAGATAAAATAAAAATTACAAAGAGGGAGAACAACAATAGTACGGGGGGAGAATTGAGATATACATTAAAAAAGAAGGAAGAAAAAGCTTGATACAGAGGAGAATTCGAATACTAAGGAAGACGGATCCGTGAGACCTTGAAGGAAAAGAAGAACGACTGTGGGAGGCCGTAATACAAAGACGAAGAGCTGGAGAAGAACACTCTGGCGATCCTTGTTTTGTGATGACCCAACGCAAAGGACAGTTAGGGGTTCAACATCTGAAACCCTAATTGTGTGAATAACACCATCACCTGCCGCGACTGGAATCTATGAAATCAAAGAAGAGGAAGGATTAGAGAATACACTTGAAGAATGCGGAAAGGGGTAAAACTAATTAATTTCCTAGTTTTTGTTGTTTGTTTGATTTTTGACTAAGGGTTTGTTTAGGGTAAGCGTCGCGGAGAAGAAGGGATAAGGGTTTAGGGCATTAGTGTTTGTGGGATGCGTGAGAGGCGAGAGAGAGAGAGGCGAACAAGACTGTAACAAAAACAAAAGAAAATGAACATTAAAAACATGTTATAATCTGTTTCCATTCAATACCTGCGCATCCACAGTAACTAACATAATCCCCTCAGTCTTATCCGCGCGATTTTGATCTGATGGCCGTAGGCCAAGTCCCACCATAATTAGCATGCAGCTCACCTCACCCAATCGAACCGGTCCCTCACTGAAACTGTAATGGGCCAAGCCCATTAATTTTAACACCTCACATTCCTTTGTTTTACTAAAACGTTAAACAAACTACACCCCCTGTCTAGAAAGCTATAATTGGGCCAACCCACCTAAATTATTAACACCCCCTCTTTTACTGGTTAATTAGAAACTACACCCCCCTAGTATTCATTTATTTTCTATTTTTTTTATAATGATTATATTTTAATTTTATTTTTGTATTATTATTATTATATTACATTTATAATAAGTATTATTTTTATTATTATTAGTTATAAATATTATCATTATTAATATTAATTTTTATATTATTATTATTATTATCATATTTTATTATTTATTTATCATGTGTAAATTATTTTATTCAAAAATGCATATATTATTTTCTTATACATTTTAATCATGCACTAATCAAGAGTTTTTTTTTTGCAATCAATACGATAAAAAAATACAACAAACATCAAACTTTTTTTTAGCAACAAATTAATCTAGACAATTGTTTTGCAAAAGGGTTTCAAACGGATTTTGACTAATCGCGTATTTATCCAAAATCTCCGCAATCACTACAACCGGTCAAATGCGAGGTGATTCAAAATACATTTGCAACCCATAAAAAAATACAAACCAAAACCGCGAACTACGAAATGAGACTCTGATTCCTCCTAAGGAGGATACGTAGGCATGCGATCAAATATCGTGGCGAGTCCCCCTACTTAAAATTAAAACCATTTTCTCACTAATTAAAAAACAAACCATTTTCGTCTAATAAAATGTTAAAAACCTATTTCCTAAACATCGGGCTTCTAAACCTGGTATCCTTGTGAACAAGGTAGATAAGGGGTGCCTAACACATTCCCCTCGTCTAGAACCGAGTCAAACTTAGAATTTCTGAATTTCTTTTAGGGTTATTCCTTTATACTCCCTTCCTTTAGGATAAAAATTAAAGGTGGGACTCTCTGATTTAAAAACCAGTTGCAACAGCTGGCGACTCTGCTGGGGACTCAACCCTAGGTTTAGAAGCCTTATCTCTCTATTTTAGGGTTTTCTTATTTATTGAGTTTTTATTTCTTGCTTATTTAATTATTTATTTATCTGCTTATTATTTTTATTCATTATCATATTATATTTGCGGTGGGATTTACATTTTGCAAAATTATTCTCAAAACCCTTAGAAAGAAGGTTCGTGTATTAGCCAAGGGGTTACATCAACCCTATGAGTTTATACGACGACTTCACCTAGAGTCAGTGGAATTCCGCAAAAGGAATACCTCTCGAGAGATATCCTCTTGGGAAGTAGGACTTTGGAATGACACCTACGACTCTTTGTACGACCTTTAAACCAAAAACCCATGATGAGACTTTTCATGACCTAAAGACGAAAGTTTTGGTCTATAAAGAGGGTAGAATATCTGTAGACCAAAACTAGGAACTTACATTCTAAACATACCTTTCACAAATCCCACTACAATCTATAAACCCACAATAGTTATCCCTTCATCCACTATTATCTGTAGCCCGTAGGGCTTTCGTCTATGTTGTTATCCTTATCCTGTAGGGACTCTTTGTCGTCTTTCATTAGGCCATAATCCTCAAGAAAGTTCTGCCTATCTCAATCTCTGAGATAATGTAGAACATCATCAAATTATGTCTTTTATCATCTTCATCTGTAAGAAGCCCCTGCCTGTCTCAATTTGAGTCAGAGTAGGATATCATCATCAAACCTGTATAGGGTACCCCTACATCTATCATCATACTACGTCTACATCGCATTGCATATCCATGAAACCTTTTTTTGCATACCTAAAATAGAAAAATGTTTTTGCATACCCATGCATTTTCGTACATTCATACATTTTCATTTCATGCATTTCCACCTTCGCCCTTATCCAACTATCATACATTTGCTAGTCGATTTCTTGATACTCGCCAACAAACTTAAGAAAGTCTAAAACTGTGGAAGAAGGAGATTATATACTAGAGACTCAATGGAGCTTGGTCCTACAAGGCTTATTGGAGAGAGAAGGCGGCCCTTCACCATGACAACTACAGACCTACACAACGCCTCAAATGCCACTACCATTGGTGATTCCTCTACGTCAAGAGAAACTGCCCTATCAACGAAATAAGTATGTCCAAGAAAAGTCAAGGGCCATCCCCATGATCTGACAAGGCCAAGAACTATGAAGCATCTCCTAAAGTCAGTGGGTCAACAAGAAGGCTTATCTCTAGATCATTAGGCTTTTATCATTTCAAATTGTAATTTCTTTCTTACTGAGTGTTATTTGTCATAAATTGTGTACTTTTTGGTCAAGTAATTCTAATAAGATAATCATGCATGCTTTTGAAATGGATCCATTCTACAAATAACCTACGATTTTCTATTCTTCTTTTCTATCTTCCACTTGCATAACTTTAACAAACTTCGATGGAGAATGATGAAATACAAAATAATCGAATTTTGCTGATGTATGCTTTTTAATAGTAAGGCTTAGCTGACAATATAAGGCATTGCTTCAATTCCTAAACAATGGAGATATAAGGAGTTATTCCGCACTTAACCCCCTCGAGACAAAAGTCAGAGTTCTTTTAATCTCTAAAAAACCTTAATCTTAACAAAGGGCAGGGTAGACTTCAATAAATTCAACGGTGCATTCAAATCCCAGGAGAATTGAAACGATCTAAGCAAATGTTCAAGCATATCCTTTCCTCGATACATCATTGAGAGAATGATCTAAGCATAGACTCGAGCACATCATCTTCCTCGCGTTCATCATCCAAGATTGAGGAATCAATAAAGACAAAGTTCACAATATCATCTTCCTTAGTACATCAATCAAGACCAAGGAAACGATGAAGACAAAGCTTACAATAATCAGCGTGACAGTCACAATCTTTCAAAGTCAAAAGCAAAAAAAAGAGCCCGCTAAGTCAAAGCAAATCAAAACATGACTTAGGCAAAAGCTAGGGCATCCCGATGAATCAAAAATTCAAAAACAAAATTTTAAAAAAATTGGTCCATGCAAAATTAGGGATTAAAAAAATTAAATTGGAGAACAATCTTGTGACTGTCACCTCAAGAAATATCAAGGCTTCCCATCAATGCTCAGATCTTATTAATACTTTTCATCGGTGTTTGAATCTTATCTATGCTTCTCATCATCTGCGTAACTGCAAAATTTCTCTTGGGAAATAAATGCATCTGTTGGATTAATAAAATTTAGGATTGGAGAACATCAAGGAGAATGGGTTGGGCAAAATATATTTTGAGCCTTATATCTTTTGTTTTTTGAACAACGAACCATGGCCACCTTACAACCTTTAAAAGTTCTAATTGAAGCTAGGTTCACTATGAAAGCATACTCGGCAAAACTTATGTTAAACTAACTCCTATGTTTGTTAAATTTATTTCTAACTACTCCGCTTCTTCGAATATTCATCTTCTAATCTTCCATTTCTTTTCAAAAAAATCAGTTTCGATTTCAAGAACTTGCATGTGCATCAATCGAAATTACTTTTTCAAAATGTACAATTTTATCTACGAATCAATACTTAGTATCAAGGAGATTTCAAACGAATGTCTAATCAAAGGAAACATTTCTAAGAAGCTTATAACTATGGGAAAAGCATCTAATAGGACCCCTATAAACAAGAGCAAAGACACATGATCATAGGGGTATATCACACGAAGATACTGTTGACAATGGGTGATCATTCCAAGATTTAATCAACTTGGGTCAAATTTCAGAGCACTGTTTAACAAGGGACATACCTTTCGAAGGAGCATTCCTTAATCAAGTTATATCATAACAGGGTATGACTCAGTTTCCTCTTTTTATCAAAACACTCAAGGCCTTGATAATCACAGGAAACCTTCCAAGATTCAAATGTTGGGGAAGTATGTACCAAGTTCATCCTACTGCACATAGGGTCCAAATTCTTCAAGCAACTTCAAGTACAAACTTTTCAAGCTTTGAATACTTGGGGCAATCTATGTCAAGTTCATGGTAAGGTCTAAGTTCTTTCAAAGGGTGCTTCCTCCAGATCCTGGAGATTGAGGGGCACACCTTTCAAAAATTGAATGGTGAGGCAAACCACTGCAAGGCTCGATCAAAAGGAGTTGATTCAAAATTCTCCATCAAAGCAAATCATCAAACTTATTTTTAGAAACCAATTAATCTAGACAACTATTTTGCAAAAGGGTTTCAAATGGATTTTGACTAATTGCGCATTTAGCTAAAATCTCCGCAATCACTACAACCGGTCAAATGCAAGGTGATTCAAAATACATTTGCAACCCATAAAAAGACACAAACCAAAACCGCGAACTACGAAATGTGACTTTGATTCCTCCTAAGGAGGATATGTAGGCATGCGATCAAAAATCGTGGCGAGTCCCCCTATTTAAAATTAAAACCATTTTCCCAATAATTAAAAAACAAACCCTTTTCCTCTAATAAAATGTTAAAACCCAATTTCCTAAACATCACGCTTCTAAACCTACTATCCTTGTGAGCAAGGTAGATAAGGGGTGCCTAACACCTTCCCCTCGTCTAGAACCGAGTCAAACTTAGAATCTCTGAATTTCTTTTAGGGTTATTCCTTTATACTCCCTTCCTTTAGGATAAAAACTAAGGGTGGCGACTCTCTGATTTTAAAACTAGTTGCAACAATGTGTCGTATTGTTGTAATTTATTTTGGGGGCTCTGCCAGTTTTGATGTAAGTTTCAAACAGTCGTGGTCCTTGTGGTGACATAAATGTTTTATTTGGTTTAGGGCCTTAGACCTTCCTTGTGTAATGTTCTTTACAATTGCGACCTTTGTGGTCGTCCTTTTAAAGTTACGACCGTGGTGGTCGCATTTTTAGGTGTTTCTAACTTTTCTTTTTGTGGGAT